AGGGGGTTTGTAAAATTTGGATATTGGCCTATAGTTATCAACTCTGTTTGGTCTCCTCCTTTATGGATCGGGGTGACCCTTGCTATTTTGAGAACTGTAGGGAAGGGGTGGAGGATTCAATGGATTTGTTAAAGAGTGTTGCAATGATTGGTGATAGTACTTGTGACGCTTTTTTGTATATAAAGGGTGGTAAGGTATTTAAATCTCCTGCCTTGTTTTTCAGTGTGTTGATAATAAGGGAGACTTCGTATGGGTTAGTCGGAGCTAGGAATAGTGTGTTCGGGTAGTTGCCAGTGAGGTAGTCATTTGGTGGGGTATCTGAGCTTGGGATTTTATTGGCAAGGTTTTGACCTATAGTGGAGAAGAAATCATTTAGTCTGTTTGCTGTTTCTGTTGGTGGGAGTTGGGGTTCATCTGATTTTGCTAATTTTATTTCGCTATGTCGTGATATCTTTTTTGTTCTCAGAATTTCTGATAGGGTCTTCCAGGTCTTTTTTATATCACCTCGTAAGTTGGATAATCTGTTCTCATGAGTGACGGTGACTGCTCGCCATATAATGACATATTCACTCTAGAGTATTATACTGTGTTTCTATGTTGTTTATATTGTTTAGTATGTCATATTTGATCAGTTGTGATAGATAAATAAGCCATAGAGTTGATATTAATGTAATATTGAATAATATTCTGTTGCCTGAATAATATTGAGTAATAATATTGAATAATAATCTGTCGAGATCTGCATGCAACTGCCTTGCCTTTTCACAAATGATCATCTCTGAAACACTGTCTTCCGCTAACTATTTTTCCCTGATCCACAACAACAGCAACTTTTCCACTTCTTCATTTGTTTGTGATCTTACTTCTTTCTGAAATTCCATCGTGTTTCTCACTTTCTTTACCAAAGGAACTTTACTAGGAATTTTCTTGGGGCCCATGGTAACTATTTCACAGTTGCACTTAATAAAAAAAAAACACCAAAAACAATGGATTTTAAGGAAATGTTTGGATGAGTGCAGGGAGTACGTATATGCTCACTCGCCGGCAGACAAAGGGAGACTGACTCACCTGCGAGCGGCATCCTTGCGGGCCGCATCTAATATGGCTGATATATGAGGCAACAGCTGAAATACGGAGCAAAATTTCTGCCAAAAATCGGCCTAAATACAAATCAGCCGATAAACGCAGTGACCGAAAAACAAGGCTCCACTGTATATACTTACAGTATATGCAGACATTTTTTATGTAACAGGAATTTTCAAACCTTTAGAAATAGCATTGTTGTTTGACTTTTAATGGCCAAGTTTTAATGAGTTGGTTGTTCCTTTAATGAGATGCTAGTCATAATGGCTGTATTGGGGTATTACAGTTGGGTGCCTTACCTGGATGATCCTCAGAAGTGTGAACTCAACTGTCAGCCACAGGGACAGAGGTATTGCTAGCTTTTCAAATATTTTTCCACCTACTCTTGAATGAAGGAAAAGTAATGGCATGTTTTTGCTATCTGGTGGTGCAGCATGGATATCTTCACAACCTTGTACAACAGGCGAGACTGTTGTTCTCTGAGTGTGCCTACTCTGCTGATGACTAGAAGGATACTGGTGCTTGAGCCTTAATGCTACTGTTAAAACATTAAAATGCATGAAATAAAATAATCCTATCTCTGCAGGTACCCATAAGAAGGTTATAATGAGGATGTATCACAACACTGGAGGTGCTAGTCACTAACATTTTCAACAGATAAAATATTAATAAGAACATTACTTGCTGGTTTACAGGTGTAATATTCCATCACAGGCAGTAACTTTCTAACTTCAAAGATTATTCTTATCTTTAAGTACTGTACTATAATATAAACCAAAAATTTATTTGTAATATTATTTGTGATTTTGTGTTGATAAAAATAACAAGATTTTTTCAGATGCATCTAACAATAGATAGTTTGGTTTCACTACTGATAGACATGGTGAAATATTTCTGCATGATTATCTTCATTTATGTTATGTATTACAGTAAATAAAAGAAAAAAAATTACCCTTTTAATGGTGTAAGAGGTCAGTAATATTCTTAAATTCATAATTTAATTAATAGTATGTTTTATAAGAATCAAAATACAAATAAGTGTACACTTATGTGCAGCTGTCATTTACTGTTTGTAGAGCTATACTGTACTAAGAAAGCTTCACAAACATAGTCAGTTTAATATACATACATCCTTTAAAGAATAATTTTTTAATCTATAATTAATTTGATTGGAAACAATAAACTACAGTATATATTTTGAGTCACTTATTTGATCACATACATATTTTCTGCATTGTATTGCATGATTAATACAATGTTTAAAACTGCATGTTGGGCTTGTAGGAAATGGTGTTTGTTGTGTGAAGGTAAAATAGCATAACTCAATAATGCTTGAATTTTTGCCAAGTGGCTTAATGAAAAAAATTCTTATGTACTTATAGAAGCAAATTTTTTAAGTTAGCAAACAAAAATTTAAACTGTAGAAATATTACACTGTAGATTTGGGTGTAAATATATGAGTGAATAACCCGAAAATTGGATTCAACAGCTGGGTGCCCCATCTTAAGGCACCGCGGAAATGTGAACTGAATTGTCAGCCTGAAGGTGAAAGATTTTACTATCGTCATGCACTGAAGGTGGTAGATGGAACACCATGTGAAAGTGAGGGACGTGACATCTGTGTTGATGGGCACTGTATGGTAACTATGAATAATACAACTTTTTGTATATTAGTAAGAGGTATTCTGAATCAGAGAGAATTATTTTTCTAATAATGGTAGATGAACTTAACCATAACTTTGTTTAAAATGTAGTATAGAGTTTAATAGAAGAAAAATACCTAGCCTAGGTACATCATCAGGTGCCCATTATAAGCACAGCTGTATAACACTGGGGCATCATTGGTTGCTTAATTGTGTGTCATAATTTGATACATGCCTCAGAAGAAGTTTGCGTGATGAGAAAAACTCCAAGAGCTGTTAAAAGATAAGTATTAGATTTTTTTTTTTCAACAAACATGAGAACATAAGAAAGAAGGAACACTGCAACAGGCCTATTGACCCATGCGGAGCAGGTCCATCCCCCCCCTGGTCAGGTCTAACCCACCCCCACCCCCAACCACTCATGTATTTATCTAACCTATTTTTAAAACTACACAATTTTTTAGCCTAAATTTAACTGTACTTGAGAGTTTTTTTCCACTCATCCACAAACTTTTTTACCAAACCATGTTTTTCCTATACCCTTTTCCGAACCCGTTTTTTTTTCCCAATTTTAAAACCATTGCTGGAGCCCCTGTTTGGTTTGGAAATTTTTTCACCCAGGGCTATTTACATCCCCTTTTTTTATTCCTTTTTTCCAAATTTATCCCACCTCAATAAACCCCCCCTAATTCAACGCCTTTCGAGAGAGGGGCCGTTTCGGGCCCTAAAGTTTTTTTTCTTGTTTGGGGAAAATTTTTGTTTCCTGGGATCTTCTTTTTTCATCCTCCTCTGTACTTTTTCCAGGCATTTATTCCTTCTGTAATAGGGTGACCAAAACCTGAGCAGCAAAAATTTTAAATAGGCCAAACCCAAAGGGATAAATAGAGTTGAAGAACAACCGGGGGACTTCAATTTTTTATACTTCTAGAATGAAGCCAAAAATTCTGTTTGCTTTTTCAAAACACAATCTTTTGTTGTTTTTGGTTTAGATTCCCTGCTAACCAAACTCCTATACCCTTTTCGCAATCAGTAGTATTAAGATTACTTTTATTTAATTTTTTATTGGAAAATGGTTTTTTAAACTGCCCAAATTTTTAGAACTTTGTTTTGTCAGTTTTAAAATTTGCATTTGGGCCCCCTTCTCCGACTTTGCACATTTTATTAAAATTTCACCTGGAGTGCTTTTAGTGCCCCTCTTTTGAATAAATTTGGGAAAGGGCCTTTTTTGGGTTCATCAGCAAATTTGTTTTAATGCCCGCTATTTTTTCCCCTTTCATCTTTGTCGTTTATGAAAATTTGTGAACAACAACGGGCCCAAACACTGACCCCTGAGGAACCGCTTGTGACAATGCCCCCATTCCGATTTCCCCCAAATTTATGCAAACTTCTGTTTGCCCTATTTGTACGCCATCCCTCTACCCCGGGAAAAAAATTTCTCCTCCTATTCCGTGTCCCTTAAATTTTCCTAAATTTGCCTCGGGTGTGGAACTCTATCGAAACCCTTTACTGAAGTCCATATACAAAAAATATCTTTTAAATTACCTGATCAACCCCCTTAAAACACCCTTAGGGGAAAAAAATTTTGTAAACCCTTTAAGACAGGAACCCCCCTTTAAAACCGTGTTGAGATTCTTTAAATTCAATCTGTGCCAAAAAGAGGGGTCGAATTGCTTCGGGAAATTATTGTTTCCCAAAAATTTTTTCCCCCACTTTTGGAGGAAAAGGCTTTTTTGGCCCTATGGGTTTCGAACCCAAAGGGACCTGTCACCTGCCTTTTAAATAGGTATTCATTTCCCTTTTTTTCATTATCAGGATTTTGGGCCAGTTTTTTGTGTTAGTTAAAAAGTTTAGAAAAAAGGGTATGTTTAATTTCCTCTTTACATTCCTTTAAAAAACCCTTGAAAACCCTTCTGGGGCCCCTGGGGATTTGTTAGGTTTTAGTTTCTTTATTTGTCTGAGGACCTTTTCCCCTTAGTTACCTTTTTTTTAGTTCAATATTTTTATTACCCGGGTTCTACAAATTTCTATTTTTTCGGGTTTTTTTTTTTTTTTTTCAACAAGTGGGGGCCGTCTCCCACTGGGGAGGGGGACCCAAAAAAAGAAGAAAACCCCCAAAAAGAAAATATTTCATAAATATTAAAAAAACTTTCACACCCCCTCACACATTATCCCCCTTTTTTTTTGGCAGAGGTCCCAAAGGTTTAAAACGTTTAGAAGCATAAAACGAAAAAATTTATAACAACATATCCCTCCAAACTGCCAAAAACCCCCAAA